CCACGGCAGCGGCAGCGATTGCCTTTTACGACTGTGTTTTCTCCCTAATGAATTGGAATTCTCTTCTCCCTTCCCTACTTTCAAGCAGGGGGAGCTGGAGTCTTGCCGGCCCAGCCCTGGAGGCCGGGGCGGGGATGATCCTGGCATGGGAAAGAGGATGGGGGCACCGGTGGGTACAGATTCCAGACACTGCGCAATGTAGCTGGGCTACGCCCACAGGGTGAAGGGCGCTTCGGGAGTCAAGTTCCTACCTTCCATCTTCCCTGTCTCCTGGCTAGAAGGAAATGGGGCCCTGGGTCCCGAACCGGTTGGGGCCGCATGGCTTCAGGATGTCTGGAAGGTCCCAAGGTCTAGGTCCCCCGGAGCTGAGCCGAGTGCCGCTCTGCCCAACGCTACTATTAGCCCTTTTTCTTCTCCTTTCTGTCTTCCCACATTCTTTGCTCCAGTGTTGGCTGTTTTCCTTTCCTCCCAAGAGTACTTACATAGCTCACATTTGGGCTGCCCAGTGACCTTGGGTAAGTCACAAAACCTTGTGAGCCTATGTGAAAAGAGAGAGGGTCCCGGTTCCCGAGTCCACTTCTAAGGCTAATATTCTAGGGCTGTTTTTCTGAAGACGTCCGAAAGTCCCCATTGGAGGACCTAGACAAGGGAATGACAGGGTTTCCTTCCTCTCCAACTGAGAGGCAGAGCCATGTGCATTAACACAAAAGTCCTCGGGAAAAGGAGGGGTTAAGGTACTATTTCTTTTTTCTTTTCTGTTTTTGTTTGTTGTTTGCTTAAATGGTGAAGAAACTAATCTAATTCTTTAGAAAATTTAAGAAATTTTAATTATTTAGAATAATTTAGAAATATTCTGATGTAAGACAACACCTCCAGAAATAAAAAACGAGACGACTATCCTCCTAAGGATACCTGGCAGCTTTTGCAACTTTTCAAATTTTGTTCAGTGCACCCCCCTCTTTTGCTAGTTTTGCCCCAGGGAGCAAAGAATGGCTTATACATTCCTCAGAGGGCACGGGGAGGGGGTGGTGGGTGAAGACAGAAGTTGGCTCTGGGTGTAACTCTGCCAACTGTCGGAGGCGGCGAAAGGAGGGTGGTCTTTTACGCGGGTTTGGGATCTGGTTACCTTTAATTCGCCTCTGAGGCCGCCTCTCTCGCTAATGGACGTCTGTCAGCAGAGGGCTCAGGTTTCCCCACTTGCCTCGGTTAGTGCAAGCAAAGGGGCAAACAGCAAAGTAGACCGCTCAGCTAGAAAGAAATATACCTGCCTCTGGAGCGAGGGAACCCGATGAGGGTGGGTGGGCACCGTGGGCTGCTCCTCAGGCCCAGGGCTTGGTACAGGAGGGTTCAAGACCCGAAGGAGGCTCCACCTTTGATAAGCCCCTTGTGGTTCCCTCGCTTTTGCACCATCGCTTTTGCACCATCCGTCCAGACATCGGGAACTGGGATAGGTCTGCGACCCCTCTTACAAAAACTCATTCTTCATATGTAAAATTGAGTCATTCAAAAACAAGCCAAACACTACCAGTGCTTAGTTGTTTATCTGTCCAGAGGCCATTAAAAAGGAAGAAAAGAAAAACAAAAGGGGTAGGGGGAAGCCAGGGGAAACAAATAAACCAAACTCCTTCAGTATTTTACAGTTTATAAAACATTTTTCACTGACACTAACTCAACTAATTCTACAAGGCGACAAGTACACTTATTCCCAAGGAAATGGAGAGGCTAAAAAACAAAACAAAAACCAAGCCACTGGGCCAATGCCAATCCCTGATTGGCATGCCTTCTGCAAGGCCTCTCTTATCCCACTGCTTCATGTCACCCCTTCCCATGAAATATGACCCCCCCACCACGACACACACACATACACTGTACTTTATGCCGAAGTTTGCACCATCACAGACACAGGTGGACTGGGTGGATGGATACATGGCTCTGGAACCAGCTTTCTTTCAGAACACATTCTGTTCAGGACAGTTTCTAGAGGGATCCACCTTAAAACATCCAGACATACAAATGCACCAGAGCCTTTCATGTTCTCATTACTAAGACTCTTAGTCTAAGCCGTGTAAAATAAATAACCTCAAATATTACCTTTAATTACTTCCTAGTCAATGTTTCCTCATCACTAAACTTTATGGCTTCTCAATCTTTAGGACAAACTCAACTCGAGATTCTGACTCTTCCAGGAGACAGGTGGAGGAAAGCAGTTTCTCCAAGATCCGATTTGGGAGTCCCGTAACTTGTGGATGAGCTAGGTGTCAGAGCATTCAGAACCCGACAGATGAGACCTCAGGGGGATGGGGCTGAGCCCTCCCAAACAAACCCGGAAGTTTTTCATCTGTTCGCCGCCCCCTACAGGCCATGTCCGCTACTGCAGCAAGAACCTTGCTCAGCTCATGAAGTATATTTTGCTCTATCCTTAGTTCCCGTTTCCCTGGACCTCCAGATCTACTCTCCATTTCCCAGGGGACTGAGTAAGGGGGTCCACTCAAGAATTCCATCTTAAAAAAAAAAAGAATTCCATCTTGAAGACATTATAGGGGCCACAGGCTTCAAGAGTGAATTGATTTTCTAGAAATAGGTGCCAGAGGAAATGGAAACATGTTTAAATGTATGTGTTAGCCGAAAAGCTAAAACTCTCCCCATAAAAACCAACCTACTTCCTTCTTTTATTGCAAATAAATCTCCCCCTTTCCTTTAGTTTCTTTTCTTAAGTGGAATAAAAAGTGGAAACCAGTCGTGTTGCCTTTAAATCTTAACGTGGGAGCGGATTTCAATGCCTTTTGTCGCAGGTGCCAGCGTTTGATAACATCAAACATGAGTTACACCCCCCCACACACACACACACACACTAGACGCACCAAGTGCTTTTGTTCATTATGTGGTATTTGCATTTCCCCTTCTGCCCTAAACTGTTTTCGTTTTAAAAGCTTCAACCCAAAAAGAGTTTTTCAGGGGGCTAAGGCTAGGCCTACCTTCCTGACATCTGCCAAAACTTTAAACAACCGCTGGCCGGTTAGGGGGTTTGGGTATAAGGTCTCCTACCCTTCAAGATATAAAGGAAGGGGACCATCTCCAGGCTGTAGCTCAAAAGTGAGAGTGGCTGGAAAGAAAGTTGCCGGTAGATCTCTCCTCCTCTACACCCCGCTGCCTAATGCATCGCTGGAAAAAGCCCTGCGGATCTCAAGCGGCTGCTTGTGGCTGTGTCACGCTGCGGGCTCAGGCTCGGCCGGTATTGCTGCTATGCGCGGAAATATGAGCGAGTAATTTTATAAGTAACAAAGGATCAGAGATGGAATGAGGCCCCTGTTATCCAATGTCATTTAGAAGCCTTGGATCAGCAGCTTCTTGAGGCTAAAAGTGAATTCAAGAAGCCCTGCCTTTCCCTTTTCCCAGGGGTGTCAGCTAAATTTAGAAATAACCTCTATGTGTTTGCACAAATCATGTACCATTTGCTGTTTGTGTAAAAAACCGATTAGCCAGACACAACTGTGAAACAACTTGTTACTTTTATAGCTGCAACACACAAACAAATTTAGGTCCGTTTAGTTTTCCTTGTAAAAGGAGATTAGATGGGACCCGCCCGAAGACCGTGGGTCCCTATTCTCGTCTACGTGAAGGTTACTTTTGCTCCACTGGCGGTGGTTGATTGTCGGATTCTTGTTTATTAAGTTAAACTCTCTCACCCCCTGCAGCTTGTTTTATTTTAGGACCCTGATCCCGAAGGAATGTTTACTCAGGACACAATAACGTTTACCGTTTACCAGGAAAACAGACTCGGGTATTTGCGAGGAAGTGTCTTTTAAAGCGACCCACTAGCCCACGCCCGCCGCGGAAAAACAAGGCTCGGATCCGCGGTGTGGAGGCATCTCCACCATCTACGCGGCGAAGTGGACAACAGCGCCAGGGACTGGCCGGGTTTTATTAACAGGACGCTCCCAGGGCCGAGCTGACAGTGCTGCCACCCGCTCCAGTAAAAGAGATTGCGCATAAGTAATTGTAACAGCTAAATTAATTACAAAATAATTAGAATTGATGCCGTTTGAGGGTATGCTGAAGGTGGAGGAAACCGGTCTCCTGCGTCAAGATGTTTCTATCTTAATACTTTTTAAAAGAAAGACAGCTGAAATGCACATTAAAAATAATCTACGAAGGCATTCCCCATTATTACACTACGATCTCGCATTTCACACTAACCTAGACTAAGGTAAAAGAAAAAAAAGGGGGGGGGAGGGGCGATGTGCACCTGTTTTTAAAAGGGTATTAATGGTGTTTCGTTGCCTTGAGAAAGGCTTCGGGTTGGATGGAAAGAAAGCATCTATAGGAATCCTTCAGAAATCCAATTATCATGTGGATGGATTAGTGCCAGAGAAAAAGGATATCTTATCTGAAAATATTATGAAAGAATAAAACAACTATGTATTATCTATCAGGTTAATATAGATAATACCATCCCACTGCAAAATTTAAAATGCCATCACATAAATTAAAAAAAAATCAATTGAGTTTATTTAGCACTTCCACTTAAGGAATAAAAAGGAATTTCAAAATCTGACTTAAAAGCTAAAATCAGGGAAGTTTGGAATTTGCTTACTTTTGAAAGGATAATTAAAATGACTAAAAACTCGTGAGATGTTTTCATTGTCTTAAAAACTTCATTGGTTTTTCTTAAAACTGCTGTTGTTTAGAATTAGGTGTGTGTGTTTTCTTAAATGACAGCTTACTTTACATAACTGTCTAGTTATTTAGATTTAATGGATTGGTATGAAGGAGATCATCTCCTGCATCCTGGTTTTTGATGAAAACTAAAGGAAAAAACATTAATGATTTAAATTAGGTATACTTTTTCTTCAGTTAAAATGTTCTTACACTCAAATTGTGAATTGTCAAAGTTTGAAAAGGTCATTACTTGAAACTCCTTAATTTTCTGGGGAAGATAAAATGCAAATTCCATTTAAAAATCTTGTCATTTACTTCAGACACCTAAATAAAACACTATGTTGAGCATTTTAAAAATTTATTTACAAAGTTGTGTACAACACGATGGAATAACATTTAGAATACCATATATATTCATTCATATATAAACAGACTTTTATAATAGAATGACACTTCGCCTTTTTGAAAATTTTGTATTTAAAATCTCCCAACGTCTCTATACATTTTCTCAGATAAAACTGCGGAGAGTGAACCTTCAAAAAAAATGAAAGTTCAGAGCTCTAAATCTACTGAATTTGTTTTTTTTTCTTAAAAAAATAAAAACCCCAAAAGGAAAGTCAATAATTTTTATACAAATATGTACAAAGAATTTCCCTCCACCCCTACGATACTGAGAACAGGCGCCGTCGGGGTGCATTTTTGGAAAATTCGGTTATTGGTTTTACCTGTATGGAAAGCTATTCCCGGCGGGCGCGCGGTGAGTTTGCTCGGTCAGCTTAGGTGTGCGCGAGGGGATGGAGGCCGCGGAAGGTCGGTGGTGGGGGATCGGGGCGGGGGTTGGATATGGCCGAGTCCAGGATTAGGCAGGGGGACCGGGACCGGGACCGGGGCAGAGCGCGCAGCCGGGAAATGCACACGCTGCCTGAGGCTGCCGACCCGCCAGCGCCCCGGCCACCGGCACGTCCCTATTGCGCTGGCCACTTGGCTTGAGCGGCGGCGGCAGCGGCGGCGGCGGCGGAGGCTGCAGGCTGCAGGAACTGTCCAGAGAGCGGCACGCTCAGAATGGGCGCGATGGTAGCAGTCGTCCGGCTCAGAGACAGTGGCTGGTGCGTGGCCATGAGCGCCGCCGACTGCACGGTCCCCGGCGGCCGCAAGAAAGATTGTGCCGTGCCGCCGCCCCCGCTACCCCCAGCCCCCCCAGTGCCACTGGCACCGCCAGCGCTCCCGGCAGAGCCGCCCGGCGCCGCAGGGCCCCCTCCGATGATATTCTCGATGCTGAACGACGGCCGCGCGCTGGGCTCAGACTTGATGAGCGACGTGGTGCCCGCCGCGCCCGCCGTGCCCGCGGCAGCCGCGGCCGCGCCTAGGCTATTAAGCTGGAGCTGCAGGCCCGGGCCGAGCTGCGAACCGAAGGCGGCCGCTTTTCGGCCCAGCTCGCCCGAGGGCAGCAAGGGCACGGCGGGCGGCAGCACCGGCGCCACTGGCGGCAGGGCATATGGGTACTGGAGCGCTGCGGCCGCTGCTGCAGCTGCTGCAGCCGCTGGATGCGAGTAGGCACCGGCTGCGGCCGCTGGGTGCAGGCCGTAGGGGCGGCCGTAAGGTCCCGCGGCGCCTGCCGCTGCCGCCAAGCTGTAAGCGCCGAAGCTCTGCATCATGAGCGCCGTCTGCTCGCGCAGGTGTTCCTGCTGGTGGCGCTTGAAGCGTTTCCGGCGCCGCAGGAAGCTGCCGTTGTCGAACATATCCTCGGACTGCGGGTCCAGGGTCCAGTAGTTGCCCTTGCCTGGGTTGCCCGGCTCGCGGGGGATCTTGACGAAGCAGTCATTAAGTGAGAGGTTGTGGCGGATGCTGTTCTGCCAGGCGGGGAACTTCTCCCGATAGTAGGGGAAGCGATTGCTGATGAACTCACAGATGCCACTCAGGGTCAGCTTCTTCTGCGGGCTCTGCAGGATGGCCATAGTGATGAGAGCGATGTACGAGTAGGGTGGCTTCACCAGGCTGTTCTTGGGCTTGCTTGGAGTCAGGCCGCCAGCCGCACCGCTACCCGCGCCGGGCCCGCTACCGCTCGTGCCGCCCTCTTCGCCACCCTTGCAGCCGTCCACCTCCGGCGCTCCCGCCTCGCTCGCAGGCCCGGCCCCGGCTCCCGCCGCCTCCTTGGGCAATACCAGGGGCTGCTGGTGGGGCGGCTGAGACTGCCCGTGATGGGGTGTCGCCGGCGGCACCTCGTCCGCCTCGTCCAGGCGCAGATCCGGCGGCCCCGCAGGGCTATCGCAACCCGCGTCGCTGTCCTTCTCCTCCAGCCCGTCGTCACCCTCGCCCACCACATCGATGTCCACGTCCTCGGCCGTCAGCACCGTCTGGCCGGACATATCGCTGGCGCTGCCGCCGCCGGAGAGGGTCATCCCTCCTCGGGGTTGGTTGCGGCGGCGGGGAGGGAGCAGAGGGCGATGGGGGTTGTTAGGGGCTGCTAAGGAACTCAGGGGAAGGGGATTTGGGCGCCCCCGAAAGATTGGGGGCAGGGAGAGGGGAGGGGGCGCAGGTGGCTCTGGGCCCTCCTGGCTCGGCTCACACTCGGAGGCCCGGCATCTCGCCGCACGGGCGCTGATGTCCGCCCCCCGTAGCCGCGCTCCTCGAACTCCTGCAGTCCCTGGCGCTCCCTACTAGGCGTTAGCTACCTGCTCACGGCTGGGGAGGCTGCTTCACGCCGCGCCCCCTTACTTCGCCCGCCTTCCTCGGCCTCTGGCCCGGGTGTGGGGCACAAGAGCTGTTCAGGCGGGCGCGGGACGCCGGGCGCCAAGCAGCTCGGGAGGGCGCTGGCAGGGGCAATCGAAGAGGGGGGGTGGTGTCAGGGACGCCGAAGCCCCGGTAGTCGAAAGTCCCGTTTTAAGGACTGGCCTGATAGATTACTTTCTACTTAAAGATCCAGCGGGAGGCGGGGCCACGTGACCACGCGTGACGTCAGGGCCGCCGCGGAGCCGGCCAAACTCAAGTTGGTTCTGGGAATTGTCAACAAAGGGACGAGAGACTCGCAACTCCGCACCGCACCACGCGCCCGGCATCCAACCGGCCCCGAGGGCGCTCCGGCCCGCCTGGAGACCCCTGCCCAGGCTGGATCCCGGCGCCGGGGTCCAGTGAGGGTGTGAGTGTGGGTGGGTGGGAGTGAGGGCGTGGGCCTAAGAGTGTCCGAGGGACCGTGCGGCTCCCGCTGCCCTGCCTTCCCCGCCCCTTATCCTTTCCTCCTCCCCTCCCCCCGGTTGCTAACACTCCTTGGACAGAGACTGGCAACGTAGAAGAAGCCTGCCATCTCATTTTTAAAGAAGAAAAACTTATTAGTCTCTGTTTTGTTGATTGTTTTCTCTCTAAAGACTAAAGGCAACGCACCGGGCTCCCTCTTGCTAATTAGACTTAAGACCCCCCTCCAGCTTCTGAGCTCATTCCGAGAGAAGACACCTGCTGAGGTGTCTTTTTTTTTTTTTTCCCTCCCCTCTCCTCTCCCTAAACCTAACCACTTGGGTCCGTCCCTGGCTTTCCTGGCTGGACGCGGGCGTGTTTTTCTACGTATGTATATACATATTTTCTCGTGGTTACAACAGCATTAGCTGGGGGCTTACTCAGGTTAGAAGATAGCTATCGATTAATCTATTAGAATAGTTGCGGAGAGAAATAAAAACGACGTGAAACAACAGGGAACTTACAAATAAAGAAGCCTTAACTGGCTGCTTGGAGTTGTTAAACGATTTAGCATATGAAAAAGTCGGAAATGAGGAGCTGGGGAAGGAGCTGGTATTGGCCGCGGCCTGGGTAAGTCAAATGGAACTGGGAAAAGGCCTTGGGCCTCTAGGTTAGACGCCGCGCCCAGGCCCCGATCGCTGTAGAACCGAGCGGGTAGCAAACAGCGACTTTGTGGGCTGTGGACACGGCCTCCTGGGACGCCGGTGGCCTCTGGCATGCCGGTGGACTGGGCTCTCTTTTGCTGCTACCTAACATGGATTTTCTCTTAAAGCATAGGCAAATGCTCCAAGATTTAAGTTCCGCGGAAACCAGCGACAAAGCCATTGAAGGAGGCAGTGAGAATGTGGCCAGTATACACGGAGTTTCTCTGGCAAAGAAAGTCAGTGATGGTAAGAAAGACGGCGGGGATTCCGACTGGGACAAGGGGTGGGGACCCCAAATTGACCCAGGTGCGTGGCGTTGCTGGGGCGCATGGACCTCACACCTCCAAGGGGAATCAGTGCTCCTGACTCGGTGAATCCACCATGAGCTCTTTCCTCTGGCATTAGCGCCTTTCCGGGGTGGAGAGCTTAGGGAACCCAAGGCACGTCTGTCGGCAGAAGGCCTGGAAGGGGAGGGCCAGCTTCACCAGAGGAAAGAGGACGAGGGGAGAAGGTCTGAGAGAAAAGAATTAGTGAAATATTTACAGAAGACACTAGGAAACTGAGTTAATTCCTGGTAGAGAGTGGTGCTTATGATTCTGTCTCCCCATCTACCACCACCTCTTTCTCTGGCATATCAAATAAGTAAATAAAATGACAACTAAAAATCTGTAAATTTGCTTCATTGCAGGCATCGCGACACACAGATTGACTTTCATCTCTGTTAGACAGTTCCCCTTTGGATCCCTAATTCCTCAGAACGTTCCCGATTGGGGATAGGGACAGGTTTGGGGCAGTGACTATCCTGAGACTCCCTCCAACCTCCAAGGCCTTTCGGTTTCTCTGTGATCTCGATAACCCTAAAACGCATTTGAGTTCATTTCCGCAGCTGCATCGCTTTGTGGCCCGCAGGCTCGGAACCGTTTTACAATGCCGTCTAGACAGTCTACCACGAAATCCACACGAGCTGCGAGCTAGCTGCCCATCACCCCAGGCTTCAGAGGTCGAGATTGCAACTGCCCGAGCAACCTAAAGGAAGGTCCTAAAGGGGGTTGGGGGTAGGGCAAAACAAAACGGAAATTTAAAAATGTAGAAACTCCTTTTGCCCATCTTGGGTCGCTCAGCTCCAGAGGTAAGCTCTGGGCACCACACGAGTCCCACTGCGGCCTGGGTGGCTGGCCTGCAAGGTGCGTGGGTGCGTATGCACGGGAGAGGATGGGGACTCCAGGGCTGCCCTCACTGGTCATTCTGAAGTGATCTCCTAATGAACCTAATTTCGATTCCACTGCCCGCCCGAGCTGGCTCTCGGGACTTCCTACACGCGGTTGATCGCAGCCTCTCACCCTCCCTCTGCCAAGGCCTGGTCTGAGCTGTCCATTCTCTTGTGTCTCCTTGGAAGCTCCCTGGAGAAGGGGGGTGGTGAACAACTCCCAGCTGCCGGTTCCATTTGTTGCGCTTTTTTCCTTCGACACAATAAAAGTCAAATTAATTGATTCATACCATTAATTACGGTGCGTAGCGTGAAAAGCGACGCTTCCCCTCGGTTAGAGATCTATTGTGCTAATCTCTTGTTCAATCAGTGTTACCATCTGATGCTGGGTCCAGCCCTTACAGAAACTTTTCGCGTCGATTAGCTAAATGATGAGATGAGACGTGCAGGACCTACTGGCTGCTGCCCCGACGTCCCGCGCCGGTGCAGGCCTAACGGCTTAATATCGATTTCCTGCGGAGGCAGCGGATTTTTTCCGCGGCCAATCTCAGCTTGGGAACTGGCTGCTGGTTTCCTCCTTCCGGGAGAACAGTAGTGTCCGCGCAACCTCCCGGCGCGGGAAGGCGGGGAAGCGGCAGCCAGCGCAGGTGGGAGGCAGGAAGGTTCCCCTTGCCCCAGCCGCGGGGGGTCGCGCGGCGGAGAGGGCCTGAACCCGACCCCGTGCAGGATCCTATCCGAAGAGCCCAGATTCTGACCTAAATAGTTTGCCGATTAATTGCAGTTTGCAGCTAAAAACCCACAAGTCGTCAGTTCCCTCCAAACTTTAGGATAGGGACAGAAGAAGCGAGGTGAAGAAAAGAAAGTAAGACATAGTGAGGGGGAGAAAAATGTAACATAAAGAACGGAAACGGGGAGGGGGCGTGGATAAACGTCGTCTGAGTCTCGAAGGGTTATTGGGGGGGTCACATGAAGATCGAGTATTTTCAGGCACTCGATTATGAGTGAGAGTGACTACTTGGGTCACAACAAGTAAACTTCCCAGCCGACATTTAAAGAGGAAGATGGCCCCCAGCGGTCTCAGCTACTCAAGTATTTGAAACGATTCAGCCAAAGGAAAGTGGTATGCAACTCCTTTGGTTTCTCCTAGGGGCAGGCTGAGTGTGTAGTACTCGGCTGGGGAAACCGCTGGGATAGGCCCCGCGGCGGGGGTGGTGGGGGTAGGTTCTAGCAACAGGAGGCTGGAGAGTGGAGTCAGGATCAATAGGAAGAAAATTGAGACGTCTCCAGGGGAGGGGAGATTTAGTGTGTGTGTCCTGGAAGAGGGTGGTGGTGGGGGAAAGGGTATGGTACAATTTATGACGGAGAAAGGGAAAATTAATTACAGCTCAATTTGGGTTCTCAAGTGGTCAACACGGGAGGAGGGGCAAGGCCACAGGGTGCAGGAGGCAGGAATGACCACCTACCCATCAGCAGGCCCAAGAACCCAGGTGCCCTCTTTCTCTTTATGTCCCAGACTGTTGATGCCTTGACTAAATCGTTGAGGCTACCTGAGATAGAATTATCATTGCTGTGCGCTGATGATACACTTTTCTTACAATCCGGGAAGATGGGACCAGGTTCTAAGGAGTAAGGGACTCATCTCCCATCAAGGGCAGCTATCCCCTCTTGTGGAGGAAACAAAATGTGGGTGGAGCCATTTGGAAAATACCCCATCTTTTCCTCCCCTAGCCACCCCAAACTTGAATCTGTTCCTTCTCAACAATCTAAACTATTATCTACCTCTTTGGATGACTGCCACCATGGAAGGTGGGAAGGATAGAGGGAATACATGGGGCCCCAACCCACTCAGACTATTTCCATTTCTCAGTGGGTGGGATTTTTCAAATCACTTCTCTGCACCACCTCCCTTGTATACCTCTCCAGATTATCTTGGGTGGGGGGATATTTAACGTTCTTGCTTCGATTTGCATCTCAAAACTTCATTTGTTTTCAGTGTCTGCCACTCAGAGTCCACACCAAGGAGTGCCTGTAAATGGCAAGAGACCAAAAGGAAAGGAGAAGAGAAAGGGAGAGAGAGGATGGTTTTGAATTTATTTATATTGGAAATGTATAAACATCCATTCTGTAAAAGGCAACACGTTTAATTAACGATGAGAGAGCAGTTAGGGGCAGAAAGCTAGTAAAATTGTGTGATAAATTTATGGCATTGTTAGCGTGCTTTTAATTATGGCTATTATGTTAATTATTTCACATTAGCATGGAGTTATCAGCAGCATGTCAGATTTAATCAAAACGAGCCTTTCTCTCGAAAATTGTTCTTTTCATCCGCGAGGAGAAAGGTCCTGGGCAGGATCGGGGCTTAAAAATGACTTGGCATTGAAAGCTCCAGGCTTTCTGACACTGTTTGGTCCGATGCGGCGGGGCCTGGCAGTCCGTTGGGTCCCTCCAGGCTACCGGCAGCACACGGAGGAGCTGAGGGCTGGGTTTTTAGGAATTCACCATTTTCACCCCCTTCCGAGCCGACACTTCATCATGCAGGATCATTCTGTCAAACAATATGATGCTGCTCATTTTTATCTGTCCCGCTTTACAAAATCCCCATTCAGCCGGCCGAGGAGCAACAAAAGCCTCGTAGCAGCTCGGCGGCCGCTGGCGGTCACAGCCTCCATCAAACGCAAGAAAAGGCAAGAGGGGGCCGAGGAAAGCAAGAGGCGAGCGCGCGCTCCCAGTCCCCCGAGGGAAAGAGGCCAACCGAGACCTGAGCGCCCAGGTGGCGGGTCCACGGGTGTGGCCCTGGCGGGACACGCCTCTCTCTCTCAGGCCCGCGCCAGCCCTTGGCCTCCCTGCGGGCAAGCGCAGGGAGAAAGCGCCTTTCCTTCCCAGCGAGCGACTCGCCCACCCAGGCCACATCGATTTCTTAATCACCGCCGATCGATTTATTGGGAGCAAATAAATAGCCCGTTTTGGAAACGTTTCAATTGTGGGCTTGATGGTTGGGTCGCCGACGCAGGAGGGCGCGCAGGGCTGCGGGGCGCTCGCGGGAAGAGGCTTGTGGGAAGGTGGGGAGCGCAAAGGCGACGCGAGCCGCCCGGGCGCCTGGAGTCCGCGCTCGAGGCCGCCCGCCGCAGGTCCCCCGGTACTGGATCTTCGGCGAGGCCCTGGCCTCGGTTAAGGTTCCGAGTCTTCTTCTGTCGCTTTCAGCTGCTTCCGGAGGTGGAGCAGGCAGGACCTCGCCACCTAGTCTTTTCACCTCACGTCTAGGGAAGTGCGCCTGGCTTTCTGACTCTTAATGGAAAGTCCCGGCTCAGGCCACCGAGCGACCCGGAGCCAGGCCCCAGAACCCGCGCGATGAGAGTCCTCCCTGGCAGTGGGCAATCAGACCCACCTCATTTCGAGCCCAGGCTGCGGACGCCGGGGCCTCCTCGCCCCTGGGCCGGGAGCGGCCTTCCTGCACAAGACCATCAGGCCCCCGCCCTGGCCGGGACAGGGCTGTGGACCCGCCAGCTGTTGCCTTATTTTTAGCGCCATTCCATTCGCGCAGTTATATTTAACTCGATTCACTCCTCCGAGGAGGTCGCTCGGACATCGAATTCTCCACATCGCAGCTTGGTCCCGCCCGACGTGCCTCAGGGTCAGTTCCTCAAGGGGCAGATGGAAAACCCCTGCTTAAGAATCTTTGACATCTCCGAAGCTTGGCGAGAACCCAAGAGGGAGGGAGGCCTGGTTGTACAAGCAGTAGCTATAGTGCCTGCAAATGCGCCCAGTAGGGAGTCCTCTTTGCGTGGGGGAGGGGAGGACAGAGGAGGATTCAGTTCTAGGCAAAGATTCTCTGCGGGTACTATTGGGTCCATTTCCTACTTAGGCATAACCCGGGGTGCACAGGTGACCTGGAAGACCTCTTAACAACTCTGCCCCTCTAAAAGTTTGTGCCTTCATATTCCTGCAAGAATTCCCTCTCCTCCCTACTCCCCAACACACCCAATAAGTAAGTTAATTTCGAATAGAATGTTGGCTTCTCATTTCTGGCCCAGTTTCCCCTTAGCAAAATCTTTAAAAAGGCTTTACCACTGGCTAACTCACATCCTGGAGAAAGGACCCACTTGAATAACATACAGAATTGTAATACACCATTGTAATACATACGTCGATCACGTCAAACTGATTTACAAAAAAATTACAAACAATTCGAAAGCCATGTACCAAAGGTACATATATAGATGTGACATCAGAAATATAGAACCACTTTTTTAAAAAAAACATTTTTTCTAAAGCTCAGGTATACGGAGCCCTATTTTAAAATTAGTATTTTGAGTTAGGGTCTTGCTAAATTGCCCAGATTGGCCTAGAACTTTGGATTCTCCTGCCTCTGGTCTCCAGAGTAGCTGTGGTTACAGGTGTGTACCACCACCTCTGGGTAGAAATATTTTTTTTAATGTAAATTCTTGTCCTCACATTTTAAAAGAAACACCCCCCCTCCCTTGAGCCCAAAGTGGGTATTCCTGACTATCTCTTTTTGTAGATCTCCCTGCAGTACAGAAATTTCTTGGACAGAAGTCATACCTACAGCTGAATTCAAGACAAGACATATATAATTATTTATTCTTTGTTAATACTTTTTGAATTTTTATGGACTCTGGAAGGTGCTAGGTGTGAAAAGAAGAATTAAAGCCAAGTCCCCTCAAGGAAGAGCTGGGCATGAGAAACAGTGTACCCCGTGCTGGAACTATGGCACAGGGAAATGAGGAGGATCTTTCTCTCTGGGTGGGAAATGAGAAAGGATGAAGCCCTCCAGTTCAGAGGATACCACTGACCAGCTAGCTCTGACTTCAGGGATATTTAGGGAAGATTAGGGAGAAGTAAATTAGAATCTAGGGACACTTTGAGAAAAGAATGTACTAGGTTGGGTGCCTCTCAGTACTCCTGAACAAACAGAGGCTATTTCGTCTCATGGGAAATAAGTAATAAAAGTGTGACAGGGAAATTGAGGGATGGAAGAAGGGAAAAGAGAAGAGTGTGAAAGTAGAACCTTGCTTAGAAATTTTATCTAAGTCCAATATGTCTCCTTGTAGACTACGTGAAAGAACTTTGACTAACAAACACATGGGAGAAATTTCAATGAGAACATGGGTAAAAGGGAAAAATCTGAGAAAAGATAATGACAAGGAGAAACTATTGAAAAGGCTGGTTGTAGACACGCTGACTTTGTATCAAAGGCCAAGCGGTAGATCTCTGAGAAAGCACATAAGAAGACAGGTGTCATCTTTGGACTGTCAACTCCACAAGGAGTTTTGTTATG